GTAGGATTCCAAAAACCTCTTCCTCAGGAGACCATGGTTCCTGAAAACACAGAACACCTATCCACTGTGCCCAGGCTTCGGCTTCAAAGCCTAAGTTCAGCCCTATCTTTTCAGCAAAGGCTGAAACTCAAATCTGTTCACTGTACCGAAGAAATGGGTTATTCGCCTTACTTTGGACCTAAAATCCCTCAACCAATTCCTTCAAATTCTTCAAATCTGCATGAAATATTCAAGGTCAATAATTATCTCTGAAACAAGGGGAATACCTTTTTAAAGGGTTAGTATCAGCCTTATCCATCCTTTCTCAAAGTCCTCTGGCTGCACACCCTTTGTAAAAACCTTTACAGCATCTTGTGCTTCCCTGGGACATTATTCTGGTTCTATCTGCTTTGCAGAAACCACCCTTTTAGCACATCAGGGATATTCTCTTGGTGGTTCTTGTTGGCAAAATAGCCTTTTTGTTAGCTATCACATCTGTCAGATGTGTTTATGAATTGTTGGACCTTTTCTGCAAAGGGCCTTTCCATGTACTTTACAACGTCAGGATTGTCTCATGTCGCTGCTTCCAAAGGTGGTTTTGGCATTCCACATCAATGAAGACATTGCACTGCTATCCTTGTGCCTTACTCCTAAGCATCCAAAGGCTTTGTCCCTTTTATTGCCTAGATGTAGTCAGCGCCATTAGAATATACCTCCGAGCTACGTCTTTCATCAGACACATGGGGGTTTATTTACTAAAGCTGGAGAGTCCAAAATCAGACTCCCTTCTGCATAGAAACCAATCCGCTTCTAACCTCAGCTTGTTCAATGAAGCTTTGGCAATGAAACCTGGAAGCTGATTGGTTTCTATGCAGAAGGGAGTCTGATTTTGGACTCTCCAGCTTTAGTAAATAAACCCCATGGATTGCCTGTTTACACATGTGTTCCACCAGATCAGTGGGAGTTTCCAGGGCATTTTGGCACCAAGCCTCCATAGCCCAACTGTATAAGGCTGCTACCTGACTTTTTGTTCATACTTTCTCAAAGTTCTACCAGGCAGATGTCCAGTCTTCTGTGGATGCAGCTTTTGACCGTAGAGTCCTTGCAGCTGTCTTTTAACTTTTGTTTTTTGCCCACATTGTTCTTTGGGTCTTTTGTAACATTTCTTGTTTGCCTAGTTCAGGGGTGGCTAACCTGTGGCTCTCCAGCTGTTGTGGAACTACATTTCCCATGAGGCATTGCAAAGATGGGAAGTTACTGACTTGCAGAGGCATGATGGAACTTGTAGTCCTGCAGCAGCTGGAGAGCCGCAAGTTGGCCACCCCTTGCCTAGTTGTTTCCCACCCTTGGTTTTCATTGCTTGGGGACGTCCCATGGTGTATGTGTGAATATGTTGCCTGTGTCCTATACAATACGCTTAAGATAAAAGGAATTTTGACTTACCAGTAAACTCAATTTCATACAATACGGGGCACAGGCCAAACCCGCCCTTCCTTTCCTTGGTTTACACTGCATTGCTTGCTACAAAAATTGAGGATTCAGGAGTAGCAGGATTCACAGTGGGGTAGGTTTATAGTATGCATCTATAATCTGTGGTGCATGCACATGTTGCCTGTGTCTGTGACTGTACTCCAAGGTATGACATTTACAGGCAAGTCAAAATTACAGGCCAATGTAAAGTTATTAAAAATGAAATAGAGGGGTTTTGCACTTGTTTTTTAATGTAACATTAAAAAAAAAAATTTTTTTGAGTATTAATGGGTAATAAAAAACAACAGATTAATGGTTAATAGAAATAAGCAAAACAACTATCAGAAGAAAAATAACAATTGAAGGGCAAGAAAGAGTTATTAATTAGGGCTAATTCATAGACATTAAGAAAAAAAAAAAAGTTAATCTCTTTGATATTTAAGTGAAATGATCGTAGCAATGTTGCTTTGTATCTTTCTGTTTTGCCACTGAATGTTGTTGATAAATGTATGTGCAAAGCAACTTTTGATTTTAAGAGTTGAGAATTGGGAGGGGGGTGCACAGTAGCAGCAGCGCAGAGGAACTGGATGTACTACACACCTCCGTGTACTTTTGAAGATATTTTTTTGGGGGGGTGGGTCCTAAACTAGTTAAAAGTGAACCTGAAGAGATAGAAGAGGCAGTATGCTATATGTTTAGGTGGCCAGTTTGTTAAAACACTACCTGTTTGGTGCTTTCCAGCTGCTGTTCCATTATTCCACACCGGGCATGTGGAATTCCTGCTCCCCCACCAAACCTGCTGTTTCTCCTACCAGCTTGTATCTCACTCTAGGACAGGGGTCAGCACTACCATTGGATTGTGGTTGGTATATTTCGGTCTGGGCTTGCTGACCCATTATCCCAGAGCATCAAACAGAGTGCAACGCAGAGGAACTACTTGTAAAGTTGGAGCTGTAGTAGGGAGCAAGAGCTGCACAAGCTGATGCTTCCTCTATAGTGCCGGCTCCTGGTCTCTAGATTGTTGCCAGTAGCAGGAAAGAAGAAATCTGCAGGTCAATGTGAGGCGATGTGCTGGGCATATTAGTTTAGGGCTGCTTTCACTCTGATGTGCTGCGGTTTTCCCACACCGTGAGTGCAGTGTACCTTCAGCTTTCTTGCAGGTTTAATACTGTAAGTAGGGGCGGACTGACCATTTGGAAACTCGTCGTGCACTGCCCAGGGTCAGTAGGGGGCCCCATGAGATGCTAAAGATAATTATTGAGAGGTTATAAAATAAATTATCGTATCACCCAATATTTGGTCTCCATTCAGTAGCCAAAGAAGGCATGCAAAAAGGATTTGTGAAAAGAGATTCACAGAAAAGCGGCTACATTATGAACAGAATGTGACACTCAGAAAAATTTCCAAAAATTATGCTTTATTACACTTATAAATATGACATATGGGCAGTCGCCCTGGTTTACCATCACCTCAGTATGAGACAATACACACAGACCTAAAACCATTAAAATAACACCAAGACCGGTCTAAATGCATGTGCAACAGAGAAAATGACTACAAGAGTCTAATGTCCCTGTGACACAAACACATAGGTGAACACTTCCCAAAGGAGGTGTATCCAAAAATTATACCATAGGTATACCATAATACATGTTATAATATTAGAATTCGGCTATTGCCATAATGGTTATATCCCAAACAGGGACATCCGCACGCTGACCCATTAGGAGGAAGCCATCTTCACATGCCATGAGGCAAGCCTAAGCAGCACAGGCGCCAAGAAGGGGCTGGAACCCGCGGTATATCGGCGGATGTCAGCGGTGGTTCCTTGGCCTCTTTGGCCTTGTATGGCAATACCTATGAAGGACATCCTTTCCGTTCCTATTATCCAGTGCACAGGTGGTGAGTGGACTGTTACAGGACATTAGATATATGGTCCTCTGTGATTATATGACCTATATATCCTACATAGAGTGTAAGCTCTGTCAGTGACTCTTCCACATATTGTTTGTCTTACTACAGGATGGGGACATCATGGTGCTTTAAATGGGAAACAAGACATACCACATGCATTTCAACAGGCAGAAGATCTTTTGGGATGTGTCTTGTTTTTCTTACAGAAAGTGGTGTGTAGTCCACATGTAGTGGTGAAGAAACCATTTCAAGCAGAGTGCTGCTTTTTGCATCTTTTCTTCCATCCTGGGAATAAATGGGGCATATTCTCATTTAAGAGCTCTAGGAAACAGCTGTCTATACAGATGAATGGGCCCCAACCACTTGTGCCGGCACAGGAATGTATTGCATTATACATATGACATTTTTGTCTTTTTTCATACAGGCCTGAGGCATATTGTTCTCCTCTTGACGCATATTGTGCTTGCTGAATTGCATACATGTGATATCCATATCCATAGTATAATTTTTGGATTCCCTGTTTGCGATATAACCATTATGGCAATAGCCGAATTCTAATATTATAACATGTATTATGGTATACCTATGGTATAATTTTTGGATACACCTCCTTTGGGAAGTGTTCACCTATGTGTTTGTGTCACAGGGACATTAGACTCTTGTAGTCATTTTCTCTGTTGCACATGCATTTAGACCGGTCTTGGTGTTATTTTAATGGTTTTAGGTCTGTGTGTATTGTCTCATACTGAGGTGATGGTAAACCAGGGCGACTGCCCATATGTCATATTTATAAGTGTAATAAAGCATAATTTTTGGAAATTTTTCTGAGTGTCACATTCTGTTCATAATGTAGCCGCTTTTCTGTGAATCTCTTTTCACAAATCCTCCTTTTTGCAGGCCCCATGAGATGCCCCTGGTACCATTTTCATAGGCTTTTTTGAGTTTGGGCAAGGACACGGGCCACATGATCCCCTATTGCCCGGGGGCCCCATGAGTTGTCAGTCTGCCCCTGACTGTAAGTGAAAAAAATGGTGTGCTACATCTATAGAAATTGTGCATTTTAGTATAATATTGCTATTAGTAATATTCTATAGGAATTGTGCATTTTTGTATATGTAGCGCAGCATTTATTTCACTTACATTATTTTACCATTTGGCCCACTGAGACCGGGGTTGTGTGCACTAGCGGCTACAGCATTTGTATTACACTTCTTAAATGTATTTATTTTTTGTATTTGCCATAGTAAGTGCTTGAGTCATAATTATACGGTAATTTTCCAGCAGGTTTTGCTGCACTTTGCCATAGACTTCTATTATATCCTGATGTTTGGTGCACTTTCTGAAAGCACACTAAAACTCCTAAATGTGGGAGTTTTGGTGCACTTTCACAAAGTGCACCACACTTTCAGGATATAATAGAAGTCTATGGCAAAGTGCAGCCCAGAAAAGTCGCAAATGCTCCGCGCCGCACCCATGTTGTAGGTAAACCACACCACATCAGTGTGAAAGCTGCCTCATAGTGGGCTCAGAACAGTAAGGGTTCATTTACATTTGTGGTTTGGGGTGTTGTAAAACCCCATAGTGTGCGTCTATTCTGTGCTAAATTAAAAAACAAATTCATCTCCCTCTGCATTCAGGTCTCTCTGGAATCTTTGACACGAGCCTGCATGTGGCAGGTGGAAACACTACAGAAACATCCGTGATGAACTTTCTGTCTGCAATAGAGTCTCGCACTGCGCAAGCAGCTTCATCAGGCACAACCCTCCTGCCACAATTCAGGGCCCCATCATGGCAGACAGGTAATAGTAATGCATTTTTATCATTGTAGGTGGCTGTGAGATGCCCTAATCATGACTAGCAGTTACATAGGGTTAGGATTACTGGCTGCCATTGCAGCAAAATTTAAAAGTGACAGAGCACACAGAAGTGACACAGGGAAGAATAGGGTGAAAAAAAAACTAAAGCTATGAGGAATATATAGCACATATTTCACAGGTAAAAGTATGGAAAACTTATTCTTTTACATTCCTTGATAGGGATGTTCTTGCTCTTTGTTGTTGGTTGTTCAGCTGATCAGTTTGTTTGAAGTAGCAGGAAACTCTTAAGATTTTCCTGTGTGACCAACAGTTGTCTTATTACTAGCCTGATCCTGGAATTCACTGCTTACACTGCTTTGCTTAATAAGGTAACTATTTCAGCTGTTTAAAGCTCTTTTTAATGTTGAATCAAAGTTTGGTTAATAGGGTTTTTTTTGTAATACCACAGATCTGCTGTGTGGTAAACAGGATTTAGGTTTTTCGTGTGTAGCTCACCCCCTTGTCGGAGGCCTCCTTTTTTATATTCCTCCTATAGGGATGAGCTGGAGACTTGTTGTATAGAAAAAAAATTATATGTTGTAGCTCACTAGTCCTTTAGATGGTGGTTACTGCATTTTCTGCAAGTGCATAAAAATCCCTTTTGATCAATGAGAAATTCAGTGTCCTTGCAACTTTTTTGTGTACTGAACTGAAATTTCAATGTTATCAGCTGTACAAGGCTGTACACTGCTCAAAAAAAGTAAAGGAACACTTTTTAATCAGAGTATAGCATCAAGTCAGTGAATCTCCTGGGATATTGATATGGTCAGTTAAGTAGTAGAGGGGGTTGTTAATCAGTTTCAGCTGCTTTGGTGTTAATGAAGGGCGACAGTGAGACTACCCCCAAAACAGGAATGGTTTTACAGGTGCAGGCCATCGACATTTTTTTCCCTACTCATCTTTTCTGACTGTTTTTCACTAGTTTTGCATTTGGCTAGGGTTAATGTCACTACTGGTCGCATGGACCCTACAGAGGTTGCACAGGCAGACCAACTCCTCCAGGATAGTACATCTTTACATGCCTTTGCCAGAAGGTTTGCTGTGTCTCCCATCACAGTCTCAAGAGCATGGAGGAGATTCCAGGAGACAGGCAGTTACTCTAGGAGAGCTGGACAGGGCTGTAGAAGGTCCCTGACCTATCAGCAGAACCAGTATGTGCTCCTTTGTGCAAGGAGGAACAGGATGAGCACTACCAGAGCCCTACAAAATGACCTCCAGCAGTCCACTGTTGTGAATGCCTCTGACTAAACAAACAGAAACATGAGGGTGGCCTGAGGGCCTGACATCCTCTAGTGGGTCCTGTGCTCCCTGCCTAGCACCATAGACTCAACTGGCATTTGCCAGTCAACACCAGAATTGGCAGGTCTGCCACTGGCTCCCTTTGCTTTTCACAGATGAGAGCAGGTTCACCCTGAGCACAGGTAACAGGTGAAAGGGTCTGGAGAAGCTGTGGATAACATGCTGCCTGTAACATTGTTCAGCATGACCGTTTTGGTGGTGGGTCATTGATGGTTGGTGGAGGCATAGCCCTGGAGGGACGCACAGACCTCTACAGGCTAGACCAGGGGTGGGCAAACTTTTTGACCCGAGGGCCGCAATGGGTTCATATATTGGACCCGGGGGCCGGACCAAGAGTAGATGAATGATGTGTATGTGTATGTGTCATCCCCCATAGTAAGTATAGTAATATCATCCCCCCCCATAGTCCCCCAAGCATCATAGTAATTCATCCCCCATAGTAATTCATCCCCCATATAGTAATTCATCCCCCATAGTAATCATCCCCCATAGTAATTCATCCCCCATATAGTAATTCATTCCCCCTATATAGTAAGTCCCCCCTGTGTCAATTCACTTACCTTTGCTCCGCACGTTCCTCTCGCCGTGTTCTCGCGCCATTCCGGTGTAGCATGAAAATCTGTCTCCTATGAGGATCTGTCCCCCTCGACGTATCTGCGCATGTGCCAGTTTCCGGCATTAGCAGCCGATCGGCGATCTCTGGCACATGCGCAGATACGTCGAGGGGGACAGATCCTCATAGGAGACAGATTTTCATGCTACACCGGTCTTCAGGGCGGACTGTGAGAGGAGCCTAGCGGGAGCCTAGCTCCGCGGGCCAGATTAAAAGGTCTGCCGGGCCGTAGTTTGCCCATTGCTGGGCTAGACAATGGCACCCTGACTTCCCTTAGGTATCGTGATGAAATCCTTGGACCCATTGTCAGACCCTACGCTGGTGCAGTGGGTCCTGGGTTATTCCTGGTGCACGATAATGTCTGGCCTCATGTGGCGAGAGTATGCAGGCAGTTCCTGGAGGATTAAAGAATTGATACCATTGAATAGCCCCCACACTTGGCTGTACTAAATCCAATAGAACATCTCTGGTATATCATGTTTCGGATGCCCGGTTGCACCTCAGACTGTCCAGGAGCTCAGTGATGCCCTGGTCCAGATCTGGGAGGAAATGCCCCAGGACACCATCTGTCATATCATTAGGAGCATGCCCCCGACGTTGTCAGGCATGCATAAAAGTATGTGGCGGCCATACAAACTACTGAGTACCATGTTGAGTTGCTGCAATGAAATTTCAGCAAAATGAACTTGCCTGCTGTATAAGTTTTTCACTTTTATTTTCGGGGTGTCTTTGAATTCAGTTCTCTGTAGGTTGATGAATTTAATTTCCATCAAACGATGGGGCATCCTTACGTTCCCAACACATTACCCAGTCCATATCCGTATAGATATCCAGCATGAGATTTGATCTGTTTTCAAAGTGTTCCTTTAATTTTTTTGAGCAATGTATTATGTGAACTCTACCCCCCTCCTGCCTATGTAATGTAGATGGGGAGATGTTTGTAGTTAAATCATGGAAGGAGTCTAGGGTGCAGTCCGACTCCTCTGTTGCAACAGTTCTGTGAGTGAGCATTGTCACCCTCGGAGACTAAATGTGTTAATGGTATGATCACCAGGTGAAAATAAAGGAAAGCAGCCTTAAAAAGCAACATAATGCATCCACCACATATCATGCAGTATATTCAATTTTTGTTTTTGGTGTTAGATGCAATTTTGTGCTGTACAGATTTTGGTGCTAAATGCAATTTTTAATGCTTTTCAGATACCTGTTTTGCTTTGCTTTCAGGTAATATGTACAGCTTTTTTCTACCAAAATTGCTTAAAGCTGAACTCTGGGCAAAATTATTTTTCTTCCCCATGCAGTGGGGCTGTGCCTGCACTGCACGGATTAATTGCTCATTTGGTTCTAGGGGAGAGGACAGCAGTGGTAATCTTGCCTGATCCTCCGCTCCTCCCCGCACAAGACCGGTCCAGCACCTCTCCGCTCCAGCAGTCTTGTAAATGGACTGTCTGACGTCCTCACGCTCAGAGTACACTCCAAAGACAAAAACAGTCTAGTGGGGGAGCGTCGTTTTACAGGGGAAAGATCAGGTGAGAAACTTACCCCTAGAAAAAAAATGAGCAGTTGACCCATGCAGTGAGGGCACAGAAGTCCATGACTACTCGCAGATAATCTTTGAGACTGTAAAAACCAAAGATTGTGCAGAAATTTCCTATGAAACTTACATGCTAGTGTTTTGGTTTTCTTTGCTTTTCTCATGAGACAATTTTTTTCCCCCAGGTATGCATTCCTCAACAGCAACAGAGTTGTTTGTAACTGGAGCCCTTCAAACGTCTGGAACATTTCCAACTTCTGCTCTCTCAGCCTATCAACATCCCAACACATTCAGCTCTAGAAACTTTGCCACAACTCCATCTTTAACACTTCAGGATGGGACTTTCAGTGCTACTACCAATGGTCTACTCTCACCCCATGATCCTTTGCTGTCACTCAAGACCTCACAGACTCCAACTGCCTTGACCTTTGAGCGTCTGGGCAGTGCAGTGCTGAGTACCAGCATACCACAGTCTTCAACATATCGGTCTGCACAGGAATCTGCACCACATCTCTTGCAGCCCCAGTTCAGTTTATTGCCGACAGCACTTGGAGGGACACAGCAGACAGCTCAGCCATACAGTACATCGGTTTTCACTGGTTCTACTGCCTCCATCGAAAGAGCACTTCAGAGGGAATGTAGTGTTATTAAACACCATCAGAGGCCTTCAAGTACACAGTCTGTACAGGCGCAGCTTTCTGGTACTCAGCATTCCTTGCCTAATTACTTAACAAGTGCAACGGGGGCTGCCTTGCCTGACACAGCGAGACAGTCTGCTCTTTTATGTGCTCCACTTGGAGCTCTTACTCAGGTGAGCAATGGTGGGCCGGTGCAGAAAACCCCTCAAGTTTCTGTAGAGTTATCTCAGTCATACCCATCTGTCATACCATCTCCAGGTTTCCCACCCTCCTCTACAAAAACAAAAAACTGCCCAACGAAGGCACCTCCAAGGTCATCAAAAACTCCAAAATCTCAGAGTGTAGCTTCTCCTGGGCAAACCCAAAGCTATACAAAGTCTCCTCAAAGCCAGAGTTCAGTCATTTCAAGCCAAGCACAAGCCTTTTCCACAGCACAGTTAAGTAGTCTTCTGCCTGTAAGCCAGTCCCCCATCTATGTTTCAACACAGTCCCCAAACCTGCCATCTGCTAGTCAATCACAAGTGTTTTCAACAATCAAATCAGAAAAGCTGCCTCCACTGTACAAACCACTGACCGCGTTCTCAAGCCAATCACAAACCATAACCTCCAACAGCCAGACACTAAGTTACTCATCGGATCAGCAGTCGCTTACGCTGTCTTCAGTTTCAAGTGAGAGCTACTCTGACCAAACGCGAGAACTGTCTTCAGCTAGCCAGACGCAAAGTTATTCTTCCAGTAACACTCAGGGTTTAACTCCGGTCAGTCAATCACAAGTTAGCTATTCATCTCAATCACAAGTGATGTCACCAGTAAGTCCTTCAGATAGTTATAATTCAGGACAGAACCTACCACTAGCATCCCCATCTCTTCCATTCTCTGCTTCCTCTCGTGGGCAAAATATGCCTGCCTCAAGCCCAACTCAGAATTACATTTCTATGCATTCATCCCAGAATACACAAGACTCCACTTCTCCGCAATCTCAGAAATTTTTGCCAACTGTTCCATCACCCTCATTTGCATCTCCAAGTCACTCACAAACATTGCAGAACAATAGAACATCTGCGGACTCCAAGGCCTATGTGAAGAGGAAGTCTGACACTAACCTCTACTCAACTGTAAAGCAAGAGGACAAGTTTCAGATTCAGGATTTGCAGGCATTACAGCAGCAAACTAATATGGAATCCACTACACCAGGGCTAAGTGAAGGTGAAATGAGTACCCAAGAGTCGGTATACAGTGTTTCAAAGGCTGATGATCGATATTCACAAAGTGTTATCAAAAGCAATTCTCGCATGGAAGACCAAGTTCTTGGCATGCAAGGACCTAAAAAAGATGAGCGAATGTTGAGCCCTGCAGGGCACATGTCACAGCATGTTGGCCATATAAATAATCCAACTGGCCATGATGCTGCAAAGTCCACAGACTTAGCACAGCCCACTCAAGTAAGTGCTAAAGACTTAAGTCAGCAGCATACCATGATGCATAAGGTGCATGAAACAAAACTTCCTGAGCAGCCAAGTACATCCCCTCAACTTCAGGCTGTATTGAGACATTCTCAGCATCTACAGCTACCAGGTGCACAGGTACTTCTAGATTCAGACTTGCAGATGTTTCAGCAGTCTATTTTACAGTCCACCCTGGCTCAAACAAAGACACCTTCACCAATGCAACGAATCCAGAGCCCTCAGCAGGTAGCTCATCAGTTCCTTCAAATGGATGGTCACATTATCCAGAGCAATGGAGGACAGCCTCAGCAATCACTCCACTCTCAAGCCTCTGATGTAGTCAAAATGGATACTTCCGATGAGAAACACTTGCAGCAACACTTGCAAAGCCAGAGAGCTCGGATAGACTCAAAGAATCAGTTCGATTCCATAAACCCAATGTGTTTCTCAGAAACAATGCTGCTAGGCGATGAACGCAATTTTTTGTCTCATGTTGATGACATTCTAGCAGCCACAGCAGCTCAAGAGTTTGCCAAGTCCTCTGCTGATGAAAATCTGTCTGTCAAATCTGAGGACTCCAAATCTCGTTTTCAGTCCTTAAATATAAGGAACATGCCTACAAATTTCACAACTTCAAAGCCACAACAGAACATGAACACTTTATCTTTAAATGGTGGCCAAACAGCAATAAACCTTTCTACTGTATCTACACCTCATTCCAAAAATGTTAGTATTGATCAGAATCGTATTCAACCTTTAGATCAAGACCTGCCAAGTGGCATGGGTTCACCAGTGCTAGGGACCAGCCAAGATGATCATGAGAAGAATTCTGATGTAAATAAGAAGCAAGAATCTAAAGACACTAAAGATGTTTCTAATGATGGCAGAGATTCAGAGTTTATGAGTGGTACCAAGAGCCTAAATGAAGAGAGCACTACACCAGGAGGAGACTTTATCATGGGCCAAGATGAAAACGCAGCAGTTGTTGGACAGCTGCAGAGTCAAAATCAACATATGTCAAAAACTGACCCTCAAGGGAGCAGTGGTTCCAGTGGCCAAATGGACGAAAACTGCCAAGACTTAGCACAAGATGGCCTTCAAAAGAACAAGGTAAAGGACAAGATGCCGATAAAACAGTTTGCTGAGGATGAAAATGCAAATCTCAAACAAGTGAAAAGGAATGTACAAATGAAACGTCCCTTGCTTAAAGGCCCAGATGTGCAATTTTCCTCACATGTTTCTGAAGGGTATTATGATACCTACCAGAATCAAGAGAGGATGAGACAAAAAATTAAAGAGGTAGAAGAGAGAAACAGCCAGAAGTTAAGACTGGTTTCATAGCCTCTTTCTTAGACTTTCTGAAGACTGGACCAAAACAGCAATTTTCTGCTCCTGCTGTGCGTGTTCCCAATAGAATCAGAAGGCCATGTACCCCAGTGATAAAGTCCCCATGCCCTGGTCCTGTTTCTCAGACTCCCACTGCTGCTGGTTCTGAGGTTGGCAGCTCTCCCAAAAAGCCTGAGGAGGAGCTGAAGAAGAATCTGGAGGCCTTGCCCTCTTTCTCTTCTGACGACGATGATTCTGTTGGAGGCAATAATGATCTGCAGAAAAGTATCTCCACGGCATTGTCCGCCTTAGATGAGAATGGGGAGAAAAGAAACAAAACCGGTAAGATTTCATAAATTATCCAGGCTTTATCTCAACATGCATGTCTTGTTACCAGTGGAAAACATGGCAAGTATTTTAGACAGCAGCCAGATTCAAACTGAAACTGTACTTTTAACATAGACCCACTGCCAGCATATGGACCTTCAAGTTCATTAAAATAGGCTCCTGTCGACCTCTTTCATTGCAGGCACTATAAAAGAATTGTCATATTTCAAAGCAGAATCTCTTAAGTTCATCTCTCAGCAGCTCAGCTTGCTTTTATTCCCTCTCCCAGCAGGGACCCAGCAGCCTTCCTGCCTTCTAATGTCTAATGTTAACACACAGCATGTGCTCTGGGAGGGTGAGCTAAACTGCTGAGAATGGTTTCAGTACTTCTGCTGTGAAATTTGATGAACTGCTGCACAGTGCCTGCAGCTACAGAGGTAAGTAAATAGTTGTTTTTAAAGTGTATTTACTGCTTACCACTGCCTGGCCACAGGTTCACTTTTACATTCAGCTCACTGTAATGTTCAAGTTATATTTAGGTTGAATATATTTTTATTAATATTTGCAAGGAAAAGACAAACATTGGAAAATAGTATTAACGCCACATAACAATGAGGCTTCATATGTATCCATAATGTCAAACCAATAATCAAAAAGATATACAGTATCATTCTGAGGTGTAGAGGGATCCCTGGAGCTGGCATAGAAAGGATAATCTTGTAATCCAAGTAGCTGAAACATGGCCAAATGCTCATGGGGGCTGAAATGGCATTGGGAAAAGGAAAAAGTGGAGACCAAACTTCCCAGGAGTAACTGCACTGCATCCTCAAAAAGGAAAGATAATGGTGAAACCCCGACATAAGAAAAAGAAAATAAGGAAAGGGGGTGATAAAAATACACAAGGGTAGAAGAACAAGGTGTCCTGGACTGCAGGGGACATCCCAGGTAGTGTCCAATAAGTGATAAGCAGCTGACCATACTAAGGGAGAGGATTCAAGCAAGAACGAGAGAAAAGTGATTTAATGGGTATTTTGCAACTTATCAGAAGAAGAATAGTGCATCCATATATACCACAAAGGGGTACATTTATCCCAAGAATCAGATTCTTTCGCCTGCATCTCCTCCATCAGCATGATATGATTCACTATATTGACCCAGCTCAATAGAGGGGGCGAAGATGTGGACTTTCAGAGTTTGGAGATAAGCTGTTGAGTGGCAGAGAGGAAAAAATGTAAAAGACTCTTCTTTTGAGTCTTAAAGGAGAAGTACAGCCAAAGCTCTTTTCTTCATTCAGCACTCCTGTGACCCTTTTTCAGCTGACAGCAGGCTGAAGCAACTCAGTCTGTCAAGGCTTGGGAAAGATCCCAACCCCAGAGTCTGCAGTAGCACCTGGCTCATTCTTTCAGCGATTCACTGAGAACCTGAGCCAGCCATTCCCTCCCCCTTCACAGCTCAGCACTCCAGTGAGCGTGGGGGGCCAGAGCAGATGGCGGTGCCTGACAGGCACCGCTCTCTGTTTAGAGCGGCTGTGAGAACTCAGTGATCACCGGTCATGTGATCACTGAGTTCTCACACTTAGAGCCAGGGTGGACAGATGTAGCATCCACCTAGGCAAGTATGATTTGCGGAAAATCAGAACCTGGTACAATAGATAACAATTCAATTGTGGGTGACAAGGTGATGGACTCATTGTAGAAGTCATTGTGCACTTGAAAGATCATGGACCAAAATGGTCGAAGTCAGTTCCACCAGATATGCAAATATATTCCCTTAACCCCACGACAGCACCAGCAGAGATCCGAGGATGTAGGAAATATATGGTGAGGGTGACAGGATCCCTGTACCACCAGGAGAGCGATTTTTTTTTTTTTTTTTTTTTTTTTTTTTTTTTTTTTTTTTTTTTAGTTCTGTTGAGCATAGACTCACTTGCTCCTCTAACAACATGAAGCATCAGGTCCCGGCCATTACAACCTTGGCAGACTGACGGCACCAGAAATCTTAAATGACATAGTCGTGCGCCGGAGCGATTGTGGCAAAAAACTAAATCTCAACAAGCATTCACCCTCTATAAATCTGCTTTCTTAACATACAATTCCTCCCTTCATGCTGCCAAACAAGCCTACTTTGTCACTCTTATTAATACCTTGTCATCCAGTCCTCGTCGTCTCTTCTCTACTTTTAACTCTCTACTTTCTCACCTCCACCCAGTACCTCACTCACTGCTCATGAGATTGCAGATCATTTCAAAAACAAGATTGACACAATTCGTAGGGGCATCGCCACTGCACAGACTCCATCCCACTTAGCATACCTTATACTAAACCTCCCTCAACACTTTCCCTCTTTTGACCTTGTTATTACCGAAGAGGTCACTAAGGTTTTCTCAGAAGCTAATCTCACTACCTGCCCCCTGGATCCTGTCCCCTCACAACTACTACGGTCACCCTCTTCTTCCATCCTATGCTCCCTCACTCACATCTTCAGTCTTTCCCTCTCTACTGGTGCCTTCCCCTCCCCTCTAAAGCATGCACACATCACTCCCATACTTAAAAAGCCCTGCCTGGACCCCACCAACCTGAACAACTTAAGACCCATCTCCCTGCTGCCATTTACCTCTAAACTCCTAGAACGCTTAGTCTACAATCGCCTGAGCTCCTACCTCACAGACAACAACCTTCTTGACCCTTTACAGTCTGGCTTTCGCTCACTACACTCCACTGAAACTGCCCTACTAAAACTTACTAATGATCTACTAACAGTTAAAACCAATGGCCACTAGTCCGTACTCTTACTTACTTGACCTCTCTGCGGCTTTTGATATTGTTGACCATCCCCGCCTCCTCAAAAAACTCCACTCTCTTGGCCTCAGAGACTCTGCTCTCTCCTGGTTCTCCTACCTATAGCAGCGCTCCTTCAGCAATACCTATAACGCTGCCTCCTCCTCTTCACTCCCTCTTTCTGTAGGGGTCCCTCAAGGTTCTGTCCTTGGACCCCTTCTCTTCTCCATCTACACCTCCTCCCTTGGTCACTTGATAAACTCCCACGGCTTTAAGTACCATCTCTATGCTGATGACACACAAATCTATCTTTCTACCCCTCACCTCACCCCTTCAGTCTCCTCTCGCATTACTAACCTACTAAGTGACATATCGGCATGGATGTCACTCCACTTCCTCAAACTCAATCTTTCCAAAACTGAGCTCTTCGTATTCCCCCCAGCCCGTGCCCCCTCCCCTGACTTCTCCATCAAGATAAATAACACAATCATCAGTCGTCGTCGTCCCCCCCCCCCCCCCCCTCATGCCAGGGTGCTAGGTGTAATCCTAGACTCCCATCTGTCCTTTCAGTCCCAAATCCAATCACTGTCCAAATCTTGTAGACTTCACCTCCGCAACATCTCCATGATACACCCGTTCCTAACCTCGGAAACCACTAAGCAACTTATTCACTCCCTTGTTATATCTCGCCTTGACTATTGTAACTCCCTCCTCATTGGCCTACCTAATCGCAGGCTATCCCCTCTTCAGTCTATCATGAATGCTACTGCCAGACTCATCCACCTTACTAACCGTTCTGTATCTGCAACTCCTCTCTGCCAATCCCTCCACTGGCTTCCCATTGCCCAAAGGATAAAATTCACAACATTAACAATAACATATAAAGCCATTTATAACTCTGCCCCAAATTACATCAATCTGGTCTCTAAATATCACCCAAACCATACTCTCCGCTCCTTGCACAACCTCCTGCTTTCTAGCTCCCTTGTCTCCTCCTCCCATGCTCGTCTCCAGGACTTCTGCAGAGCCTCCCCCATCCTCTGGAACTCTCTACCCCAATATATCAGACTATCACCTACTCTGCTCACTTTTAGGCGATCTCTGAAAACCTATCTCTTCAGGGAAGCCTATCCTGCCCTCAGCTAATAATGAAATCTTCTACTCTTCCAACCAGTCCATCCCCCACAGTTACTACCTTTTGTACCACTAGCCCCTCCCTCCTAGATTGTAAGCTCCAAGGATCAGGGCCCTCCTAACCCTCTTGTATTGAACTGTATTGTTGCTGTATTGTCTCCCGTTATATTGTAAAGTGCTGAGCAAACTGTTTCGCGCCATAAATCCTGTATAATAATAATAACTGGAGACCAAAGATTTATTGGTGAGCAAGAATACTTTGTCAATCTTTGGTGAAGGGGGGGGGGGGTTAGATGACACCTGTTTGGAGACATACCGAGACTGCCATGCCTAATCTCCTTCAGAATATATTTCTTGCTAGGTTTCATCTTAAAGTTGGAGGAGGGGAAAGGAAACTGCTGAAGGTATGACGTGCAGGTGCCCAGCGGTGCTTCCCAAATATCCCAGTTATAGCTAATTTTGCAGAATGCAAACCTCATATCCACATCCATACACAACACACGCATGCCTGCACACTCTCCTATTGGTGGATCACTATGATGGGTAACTTCACTGACAAATGGGAATATGCTGGAGGCAGGAAGGAAATTTTTTTTTTTTTTTTTTTTTTTTTTTTTAAATGGAAGCAGGCTGCAAAAACAGCCTGAGATTATGCCATGAAAATATTGTTTTGAAGGCTGTTGCAGGTATGTGCAGGCATTTCCCGATACCTGAGCCTCATATCTGCAGCAGTTTGCCACCTTTGTCCCATTGATGGGTAGAACAGGCATGCAGAAGAATATGAGGACTCCTATTGTTGACCAGATCATTGAATTCTAGTTATTGGGTACAGTTTGGTAAATGTTCATTTTGGGGGTTGGGTGAAATTCAAATCTCTTGTCAAATTGAATTTCCATAAGTCATCTGTAAAGACAAATTAGATGTAAGATAGAAGAGGAGGTACTGAAGTAGGCAGTCGAGAGAGAGGGCTCAGAAGGATGGCAGCAATGGTTTTCACTAGTAATCCAAAGGCCAAACATTAGCTTAGAGTCTGTAACGTTGTAAGTCTGTCTATGGTAATTGTCTCTTTATTCTTTGTAGCAGTAATCCGTGTTTATTATGTTT